TTCATCCCTTGCTAAAACGTCTAGCATATTCAGTCTCGATTATCCTAAAATATCTCATTCCATCTTCAATTAGCAGTTGTCCAGATACTTCAAAACTTCTTCCTTGCCCACCATGGGTTCCTACTAGGTCTGTACCAAATATTCGCTTCAGGGCCGAATAGTGGACATATTGACTATTCGGTATTTGGCCGAATAGTTGCTGACGGGCCAAATACGAATAGTAGTTACCTTACATCCGCTTCTGCATACACAGCCTTAATACTGACAACATAGAACGATTGGATTTGTTGAAAGCTAATGCAGCTTTCATGCATTAACTAAGCTGTCAGTGACAATTTTCAAGTTTAGCTACTTGTTATAATACTTAGAATTCTTTCATTCCTAGTTATTAGTTACCACAGACTGACTGAAGAAGGCAAAACATAAAATGTTTTTAAATGTTTACTATTCTGTACGAATACTAACTAGACATGAAAAAGATATAAACTCTGGCCAGAAACAAGTTGATAATATGAAAATCAAACGAACGGAAAAATATAAGTACTTGGGTGCAAACTTCAACTGCTCCAACATGCTGAGAGAAGAAATACAATCTAGAATACAATCTAGAAATAAAGTATACTATGCCCTTCAACATCTGCTTAAGTCAAAGTGTCTGTCTCGCAACACCAAGATCAAAATATATAAAACGTTGATAAGACCAGTCGTTTTACATAGCTCTGAATCTTAAAGCACAACTAAAAGAGATGAAGCCTTATTACAGGTTTTCAAAAACAGAGTCTTACGACGAATCTTTGGACCCATCAAAGATGCAAACAGGGGGAAATGGAGAGTGAGAAGCAACAACATAACACATGATTTGTTAAAATCACTATTGATCACTGGCATCATGAGAGCTAACAGACTAAAATGGTTGGGGCATACTGAAAGAATGTCAGATGACAGAGAAGTAAAAACTGTATACACAAGGGAGATGAATGGACGTTAACAACGAGGCAGACAAAAAAAAAGAAGTTCGAGAGATAATATCCAGACAGACCTGCAAACAACTGGTGTCACAAATTGTGAAGAGAAGGCCAGCCAGAGAGATGGAACCGAATGATATCTGCAGCAGTAAACCTCAAGGGCTCAGAATGCTAAAGAAGAAGATGACTATTCTGTGCTACTTTATGTGAAATAAAGGTTCGGCGTACATTTGACATTATCAATGTGTGTTTCTTGTGTGTGTTTTTTTAAAGATATATTTTATTCACTATTCACTATTTGGCCGAATAGTTGGTCCCGTTATTCATATTCGGCCAAATAGTGAAAATCACTATTCGGCACAGCCCTAGTTCCTACTACTAGCAATCAGTTCCAACCACTAGCACACCTGAAGCCAACAGATCTGATAGCGCATCGGGTTGCCTTCCAGAACAAGCCAGAGAATACAGTTATGGTAAGTCCTTGTGGGAGTAATGTACTGAAGCTGGTAACCCCTTTTATAACATCTCTCCATTTTCAACTTAATGCAATATGTGCTGAGAATAATCACTTCTTCTTCTGCTCTGTCCTTTAAAGTGTGGTATGAAGTTTGTGTTGTGGTTCATAGCTAATGATGCGTATTAGGGGCAGTGAATCTATTCTGCCCCTGCCTTCCGTTTACCATAAATGGGGACCCAGAACCCACACAGGGAGGACTCACATAAATGATAACTTAGTGGGTTATTCAGGAAGCAGACATTTACTGAGTTGTTGAGGAAGTAGACAAGTATGCCTCCACACATAAATGATAACTTACTGGGTTGTTGAGGAAGTAGACAAGTATGCCTCCACACATAAAAAATAACTTACTGGGTTGTTCAGGAAGTGGACAAGTATGCCTGCACACATAAATGATAACTTACTGGGTTGTTGAGGAAGTAGACAAGTATACCTCCACACATAAATGATAACTTACTGGGTTGTTGAGGAAATAGACAAGTATGCCTGCACACATAAATGATAACTTACTGGGTTATTGAGGAAGTAGACAAGTATGCCTCCACACATAAATGATAACTTACTGGGTTGTTGAGGAAGTAGACAAGTATGCCTCCACACATAAATGATAACTTACTGGGTTATTGAGGAAGTAGACAAGTATGCCTCCACACATAATGATAACTTACTGGGTTATTGAGGAAGTAGACAAGTATGCCTCCACACATAAATGATAACTTACTGGGTTGTTCAGGAAGTGGACAAGTATGCCTCCACACATAAAAAATAACTTACTGGGTTGTTCAGGAAGTGGACAAGTATGCCTGCACACATAAATGATAACTTACTGGGTTGTTGAGGAAGTAGACAAGTATACCTCCACACATAAATGATAACTTACTGGGTTGTTGAGGAAATAGACAAGTATGCCTCCACACATAAATGATAACTTACTGGGTTGTTGAGGAAGTAGACAAGTATGCCTCCACACATAAATGATAACTTACTGGGTTGTTGAGGAAGTAGACAAGTATGCCTCCACACATAAATGATAACTTACTGGGTTATTGAGGAAGTAGACAAGTATGCCTCCACACATAATGATAACTTACTGGGTTATTGAGGAAGTAGACAAGTATGCCTCCACACATAAATGATAACTTACTGGGTTGTTCAGGAAGTGGACAAGTATGCCTGCACACATAAATGATAACTTACTGGGTTGTTGAGGAAGTAGACAAGTATACCTCCACACATAAATGATAACTTACTGGGTTGTTCAGGAAGTGGACAAGTATGCCTCCACACATAAATGATAACTTACTGGGTTGTTCAGGAAGTGGACAAGTATGCCTCCACACATAAAAAATAACTTACTGGGTTGTTCAGGAAGTGGACAAGTATGCCTCCACACATAAAAAATAACTTACTGGGTTGTTCAGGAAGTGGACAAGTATGCCTCCACACATAAATGATAACTTACTGGGTTGTTGAGGAAGTAGACAAGTATGCCTCCACACATAAAAAATAACTTACTGGGTTGTTCAGGAAGTAGACAAGTATGCCTCCAATCAATGGAATTTTGTTGATCAGTGGCTTGAAGATCACACGCAGTGTCCCATGTATCTGTAGCCAGGAATGCAATGACAAAGAATTTCAAACTAAAACATAAATACAAAGCTATACATATATATTTAATTTTTTTTTAAATGCCTACAGGTTCATGGCCCATTTCATTTAGCATTCTCAGCGCAAAAGGGTTAAGACCACCTGGCAGTATGTTGACCACACTGCTTTGGTGTTCGTGAGACACGAGTGACGAAGACTACTTTTCATCTAACGTAGTAATGATTAATGATTAAGAGTACAAAGGTGGCGGATTAATCTATTATGAGCCTGGAAAGTTCTTGAGCAATGGGGATAGCAGGTGGAGGTCGCAGTAAGTGTGGGATTAGTGATACGGTTCTCTCTAGTCTGCCTCCGTTTCTCTGCTTGGCAGGCTGATGTGCCATGCCTAAGGGATGTATGGGATTCAGAATAGTCCTGTGCAGCAGCCTCCCATGTTTCTGTGTTGATGCCAAAAAAAATTGAGAGCAGTTTTGAAGTGTCCTTGTAGTGCTTTTTCTCCCTCCCTGGAACCTCTTTCCCTCGTTGGAGCTCGCTGTAAAATACTCTCTTAGGGAGGCGATAGTCCGGCATGCGGACTAGGTGACCAGCACAATGCAGCTTATAATTCTTCAGTATCGTGGGGATATTAGGCAGGTTTGCCTATCAGGAACCACAGTATTTGGGATCTTATCTTGCCATTTGATTTTGAGCAGCTTTCTGAGACAGGTTATATGAAACTGATTCAACTTTTTAGCATGCCGCTGATACACAGTCCAAGTTTCACAAGCGTAGAACAGTAGTGGAAGAATTACAGCTTTGTAAACTTAAGCTTGGTCAGCAGGGAGATACCACTTCTATTCCAGACGCTGGTATAAAGTCTGCCAAAAAAGCTACTGGCCTCTGAGACTAGCATTGATCTCGTCATCGATGTTGACTCTCTGAGATAGGGTGCTGCCAAGATAGGTGAATCTGTCGACTACATTCAGCTTTTGATCATTTACGGTGATAGTGGGATCACATGGATGAAAGTGACTTGCGCAAGGACTTGGATTTGAGTGACAAAGAGTTGCGCAATTCATCGACCTCACTCTCTTACCTGTGTCCATCTAGATACAATGGCAGGACAATGTCAATATGATTGGAAATGAAACTAGGTGCAGTGGAAGACCAAGGTGTCTTAAGTGCCCTGCACCGAGTCCAGTCTTTGCTTGTAGGGTAGGCATATCTCAATCACCGAGTGGTTTAGAACCAGGTTGGCTACTGTCTCCTAGTTTAGCCAGCCTGTCAAAGCTGTTGCCCGGAGGGTCGCCGCTGTCACATGCTGACAGTTGCTGGAAGCCACAGGAGAGAGATGAGTGCCACACCTAGCCCAATGGTGGTGAACTGCCTTAAGAAGGAAAGGACCACAATATCCATCAAGTGCCAACTGGTCCATTCAAATATAGGTCTAGCCCTTTATGCTCGATGTGTCAAGGTGTGAAAAGGGCCATTAATCTTGTTTCTACTTAGCAGCACATCCTACTGCCCCACAGATGTACAGCTTACATCAGAATGGTCTGTTCTTGACCTTTGGATAGCAAAGGTAAAGAAGTCCCACTGACTTACCATCAGGTTTATGCTGACACACCTGTATTGTGGTGACCAAGTCACATGCAAGAACTAATACTAACAATATAAACTGGATGCTTTTGCTTCCCCAGATTTTAGCTTCTGTTTTTGTAAAGGCTGGGTTGATCCTGGTGTTGCACCGGTCACAACAAATGTAAGACTGTCAGTCACTTCTGGGAATCACACCATCAATGTGCTAGTAACTGTGTGCTCTAATCATAGCTACACACAATTTGAAACAAATTAAATGTGTTACTGAGTCACCCTCAGTTTTTAAACAATATAACACATACACATGAATTTGTTCATAAATGTGAACTTACCCTGAGATCCTTGATTCCTGCAGTCACACCTTTGACGGACACTTCAATTCTGGAGTCACTGCTGTAGCTGTAGATATTTAAAACACATTTAGATTTTGAGTTGTTTTTCTTTTCCAACTTTAAAATGTTTCATGTCTTTTTCTTCTGTTTTTAATTCTTCAACAGATCACTGGCCTTTTAGGATAGTTGCGTATCCTTTACAGGACGTTGCAGAACAAACCCCAACAGCCCCTGGCTGTTGTGTAGTTTTTCTAAGCAAATTTACGTCCAGTAGTTTGCCATTGCTTTCTGGACGGTCTGTTTTCTTGATACCACTGTCGAAACCAACGCAAGGTGCATGGCCCGCAGCTGGGATCGAACCCGGCATTCCGGCATTACAGAGCCGACACTGGCCCTTACCCAACTCATACCAAGTCCATTAAAAACCAATGGTAAAAAACTGGTAGAAGCCAAACTTTCTTAGTAGCCTCTTATGACATGCATGGTGAGTTACACTGCTACCATCCTTTGTTACCTCTATGAGCTCAGTAGCACACAAGGCTTTCTTATACAATGCAATTATAAAAACAAGCCAAGGATGTTGCTAAGATAAGCCCGCTTCAGTAAAAAAAAAAAAGAAAAAACCCACCATATTCTAAAGGACCCTTTTCCACGTCTTCAGGCGTTTTAGGCATATAGGGCCAGGCTTATATTTTATAGACCTATTGACACTTGGTGGGTGATGGGGTCAGCATCATGCCCATTTCCTTTACTTCTTAGGAATGCACCTGGTACCCACTCAAGGATGGGTGGGTCAACATGTTAACTACATTACAGCCTTAAAATATTATGTAAAAATATATATACACAAATAAAATTCAGAATGATATACAACATGACAATATGTGGTATTTAACTCAACCTCTCTCTCTCTCTCCCTCTCAATTCTTATGAAGTAGGAAAGGATTTTAGGACAATACTTCTCTCGTACTATCAGCTACAGAATAGAAGCAGTAAGGATAGTTGTTAATACAACATACTGATAAGATAATCTTATAATTCTTGCCACCAAGTTAGCAAGAACAACTATCCACTACGATACGGCAGCTCTTCAAATACACACAGATGAAACAAAAGCTACTGAACACACTATCTTCATATTTCCAGGAAACAAACAGATCAATGGTGCTTACTTGAGTTCCAAGTCCATATAAATCTCATCTCTTCTCAGCTTTGAGTAAACCTTGACTCCACCAACACGTGGAGGCTGAGACAGAAACAACAAAAGCAACATGTAAGTAAAAATTATATTTCCACATCTGGAAATGTGTCAGTTTTTTTTCCCCTGTAGTGGCCTCTGGAACAAATTTAAGGGGCCCGTGATATTTACAAACTAGTCCTCAACTTAGAGTGCAATCTCCACGTGTGGGATCTGGGGACCCCATTTAAAGAGACCCTAACCAGCATGTTGTACAAGGCGACTAATTAGGGAAGTTTCCCTCAAAGTCAGAATGCATCTGTCTGAGAGGTGAGTAACCAACAGTCTGCATATAAATAAGCCAGAGATGTAAAATGGATGTGCATGCAAAACTCAAGTTCTGGAACAAGACAACAGTGCAGAAATGGACAAACAACCCGAACTTTCTGCCCGAGCTTACAGCTGGTGAACACTAAGAAGAAGAAGAATCTTCAGAAGAGTTCCCATTCCAAGGATTCCAGTAGCAGCCTGATTATATCTCTGTCTTGCCTTTAGATCCCCTGCTCACTCCGGTTGCACCATTCTCTCCACAATGTATTGATCTACTCATGCTTCTAAGTTGCTCATTAGCTCCCAAAGTACCTTGACCTTATTTAGCTTGTCATGCAACAAGCCATCACCCAGTGGTACAGCATGAGCCGGTCTGTCTGTCTGTTCATTTCCCAAGATACCTGCATACCCTACAGAAAATATCTCAAGGATGCTAACTACCGGGTACCTCTGAAGCAATCATTGCCCCTCTGAACAGGGCATGCCTTTTCCCACTTTTCTCAGCACACTGCAATTTTTGTTACAATTATTCCTAATGACCAGAAGTAATATATAATAACTAAAATGATCACAAGTGATTGATCAACAATATACTCACAATGTCTCCAAGATCGATCTTACTAAACTTGAAAGACTGAAGAGTAGCTGGCAGGCTGGCTCTGACTGTTGGCTCTACACTTTCCCTGAGAATCTTCTCCACATATTCCCCTATATACGGCCACATGTGGTTCAAAATCTGCAAAACATTATTTTATTAACTCTTGATGGACCAGACGCCACAACAGTGGCCTTTGAATCCATCACATTCAGACCTAACATCACTATAATAGCTCTTCATAGTGACACTCTAATATTGTTTTGTTTGCTAGCAAAATGAATTTGTATGTAAGTCAAAAAGTCTAGAACTGTTCCTACTGCTCTGTCGTTGATGAATATTAGCCAGATAGTGACAATAGTTTTGATATTATGAATGATAATGCGAGTGCCAAACCTACTGCCGATAATATAGATTAGGATGAAGTTGAACAAAATATTTCAGTCAGATCATCCCTGTTTTGATCAGCTGTGTCTGGAATTCAGTTTTGAAATTTGATATGTCATACAAAAATAGTCATAAAATCCAAAGGATAGAAATTGGTTGTTTCAAATGAAGACTAGCTGACACATAATTTAACAGAGGAGACATGTGAATTCTTAAAACTGGATAGCAGTGTTGCTGAACAAGTTAAAAAGTGAGATTAGCACAATATTTTTGTGTGTAAATAATCATCATTTGTGTCTAACATCCTTGAATGGTGTGTGATTTTAATAAAACTTCGTTGTAATACTAAAATTTAAATAGTTTAGATTTTTTCTGCACTCATTTCTGAATAATTGTATATATTATATGTCCCTATACAGCAAATAATTTTTCTCCAGGATGGTTTTAGCTTTGTAATGTTGCAGTAAAATAATTCCATTCAAAATTAATGCTGACACAACCCAAAAAAAATTACTTTCCTGAAAGAGTTAATACAAATCAATATATGTCTCGTGCTAAGATGGTGATTATTTTAACTTCTAGCCTAAAGAGATGTTAGTTAACTCCTATATGCCAGATGTTTATGTAATCCTACATTCGAGCTGTTGCTCTAACTGTCATCAACAGTGATTATTTTGACATCTAGCCTAGAGAGATGTTACTTAACTCCCACATCCCAGATGTTTATCTAGCAATACATTCTAGTTGTTGCTCTAACTGTCGTCAACAGTGATTATTTCAACTCCTAGCCTAGAGAGATGTTACTTAACTCCTACATCCCAGATGTTTATGTAGCCCTACATTCTAGTTGTTGCTCTGTCATCAACAGTGATTATTTCAACTCCTAGCCTAGAGAGATGTTACTTAACAGTGATTATTTCAACTCCTAGCCTAGAGAGATGTTCCTACATCCCAGATGTTTACAGATGTTTATGTAGCCCTACATTCTAGTTGTTGCTCTGTCATCAACAGTGATTATTTCAACTCCTAGCCTAGAGAGATGTTACTTAACTCCTACATCCCAGATGTTTATGTAGCCCTACATTCTAGTTGTTGCTCTGTCATCAACAGTGATTATTTCAACTCCTAGCCTAGAGAGGTTTTTATCTAGCAATACATTCTAGTTGTTGCTCTGTCATCAACAGTGATTATTTCAACTCCTAGCCTAGAGAGATGTTACTTAACTCCCACATCCCAGATGTTTATCTAGCAATACATTCTAGTTGTTGCTCTGTCGTCAACAGTGGTTATTTCAACTCCTAGCCTAGAGAGATGTTACTGTTAGTTAACTCCTATACCCTACATGTTTATGTAATCCTACATTTTAGCTGTTTCCCCATCACTTCAGCTCCCTGCCTAGAGAGGTGTTTCTTCACTCCTCTACCTCAGATGTTTAAGTAACCCCCCATGCTAGTTGTTACCCGTTACAAGACAAGCAAAGTAAATATACAAATAAATTTCATGCACACCTTACACCCTCAATATATTCACATATGCAGACACTGCAAAGCTAGAGAGCTGAGACAAAGATCAACCATCTAACTACTGTTTTACAACTACACTATTAGCAATAATGTTTAATGATGTCATAAACAGACAGAGGGTTGCAGTGTTAATGTCTCTGTTATCAGATATCTGCCGTTGTAAATCAGCATTACCTTTTCATTTTATAATACAAATGTACACTGATTACGTCAGTTCTGAAAGTCAAAGATGAGTTGGGCAGTTGCTTCAGTTTTAGCTCTGTGAGCATGTATTCTTTTTCTGCCGCTCAACCAACATTAAAGTATTAGGCCTAAATTTCCATGAGTGCATACTGGGGCCCTATTCTGGTAGGAATAAAAACAAACCCACTGCCACCCTAAAAAGCACATCGAGCAAGAAAACTAATTAGGGGTGTTTCCTCTGAAGTCGAGATGCATCTGCCTGAGAAGTGGGAAACCAATAGTCTGCACAGAAATAAGCTAGATCTGTAAAACAAATGTGCATGCAAGAAATCAAGTTCAGGATCACGACCAAGGTCCAGAAGTGGAGGAACAACCTGAATTTTCTGTCAGAGTTTAAATCTGGTGAATACTAACTAACAAGAATCAAAAGAAGATTAATTAAAACCAGCCAAATCCTTTGCATCCCCTTATGTCCTCCCGATATTATTAATTTATCACAATATTTGTGGCGCGGTGATTTATGTCACAGGCATGAGGGGAAGTTAAGTCCAACATGATGTGTATAAGGAGATACTCTGTACGTCACTCGGGCGCCAGTCCTTCACTGTTCTGGTTTTACGGAACCTCACGCAAGACCCCTGCAGCACGTCCTCGTCGCGCGCCACGGAAAATGTCTCAAATGAGCATTAACAGAGCTGTCAGGGGATCTCGGAGTTTGGCAGCCCCCAGAGGTGATGTGTCCTTGTGGCTCTCATCAGCCCGCCCCCAAACGCTTGGGTGAAAAAGGTTATCAAAACTCATTAGGAACATGAGTATGCTGCCAAACGTACAGCTAAAAATCACAACCCTTGGTTAAAAGAATGCGGAGTGAAGAGAACATTGTTCACTGTACATCCTCTGTTAACCCTCAAGGTCGTCGTCACCGCGCTGAGGTACACCCCAATAGCAACCATCCCTAGGCTGGCCATCCATGTACATCCTCGGTTAACCCTCAGTGTCGTCGTCACCGTGCTGAGGTACACCACAACAGCAACCATCCAGAGGATGGCCATCCATGTACATCCTCGGTTAACCCTTAGTGTCATCGTCACCGCGCTGAGGTACACCAAAACAGCAACCATACATAGGCTGGCCAGCCATGTACATCCTCGTGCAACCCTCAGTGTCGTCATCACCGCGCTGAGGTACACCACAACAGCAACAGCCCATTGGCTGGCTAAGCCAAAATGTCCGACAAAACTAGATCCTACGGCACACGAGTGAGCTCAAAATCTGACCACCACAATTTGTACTGAACGGAAAAAGACCAAATGTCCACACCCAAAGACCCCACTCGCCCGAGTGTTGGGAACAAACTGATAACGCTACGCCTGAAACAGGATGTAAAATTCTGTCGGGCTAACAAGAAATCTAACATGCGAAGAAAAAAGAATGTACCTATTCGTGTGGTCACAAAAGTCCAAAACCCACGGGCTGCTCCCCGCTGACTTCCAGAGGGCGCAGCTCTTGTCGAGCGGGAAGCCTGATACGGTTGTGAGGTTAAGCAGGCATGTGCAGGACGTGACGATTCCTTGGGTGAGCCCAGAACCAGAGCGCCATGTGCCGGCTCTGAATACATGGAAGCCTCCTTGGATGGCAGGGAATGCCCATGATCTGCCCCTGTCTTCCCTTGAGGGCTAACTGTTCCACAGGGGGCTGCCCCAAAGAGGTACTTCGGGGGCAATACCGGTGGAGAAGGAGACAAAGTGGACTCCACACAAATCAGGCAACGTCTTGACCCACACAAAACAATGGCCACAGTCAACCTAGAAATAGGCCTGATGTCTTCCTTCGAAGTCGGAGTACAGCTGCCCATGAGGCAGGGAGCATTAAAACGGTTGTACACGCAAAAATCAGGTCCGGGTGAAAGCCAAAAGTCCAAGCGGACGAATAACCGGGACCTTCCGCCGGAATTCACAGCCGGTGAACGCAAAAAAAAAAAAAAAAAAATCACAATATGTGTCTGGTCTACAGCAGGTACTTATCTACTACGGCCTTAGTATGAAAATTTGGCCAATGAGGTCAACAACAACAAAACCATGCCAAGATTTTGCAAACATCTACACTCATACTAGCAGAATAATAGATACCATACACATACACTCACCAGCCCATAAGAATTGAAATCTTACCTTGTTGACCCATTCAGCTCTCTCCACATCAGGAAAATTCACCTGCAGATTATTATATGTGTATAATTATGAGTGTAAGCTGCAAGCTTTATGTGACACATACATGCACAACAGGATGACAGTAATGATGATGATGATAACAGCTTTATGCTATAGTGGCATAATACAGAGCAGAATTGATAACGAGAACTCACTGGGGACCCAAGAAATTGTTCTTCTTAGCAGAAATTCCTCTTATCCAGATAAGAATTAAAGTAAGAAACACTGCAGGGAATAAATAAATTGTTCTTCACAACAGAAATTTGCCACATCTGAGATCGCCTTTAGCGGTCTGCACTGTAGTAAGTTATTATAACATCTTATCTGGTATGAGAGTGGTTACCTTCCTCTTCTTTCAATATAAGACAAGTTGCGTGTCCAATCTGTGACCCTTTAAAAGGAAAGTTTGTTCGTTCCACTGTAGGATGATGAACTGTAGTTTGACTCTGCTTAAAACAGAGATGGTATATGCAACTGTTGGCTAAAACATCGAAATCTTTTCAAGCATTTTTCATCTAAGTTCTTTTCTTCCTCTTTTACCACTTTGGGTGTCAAGGGAGATATAAGGTTTTGCTTCTTGATTTTCTGACCGCCTCGACCAGAAACATTATGCTGGTGTAAAGCCTCTCTGATATTATTTTTACATCTAATACTCGGTCTACCTCATGCTCTATGTCCTATTTATCTTTTCGTTATGCCTTATATGGTATGGTCCACTAAGTTCACTGTCTCAAAGTAGTGATATAATCTGATCCCATGCCATTCACACATTCACATCTCATCTATCCCACATAACACAGCCACAAGGAGTGTGTTCAGCCCTCAAGAGGAGGCAAGCACCTCCATGCCCTGGAGAAAATATCCAAAGAGTATTAACAAGTAATGATGACCATTCTTTTCACCCACTAGTAGTGTGTGGTTTATGAGTTTTAAGTGGTTCTTCTTCATAGCGTTCAAAAGTTGTAAGTTCCAGTGGAAAGTTATAGTTTTCTGTAAACTTTTGGACTTTGGTCTTGCTCCAGAACTTGAGTTTTGCGTGCAGATTCATTTAACACATCTGGCTTACTTGTATGCAGACTGTTGGTTCCTCATCTCTCAGGCAGATGCACTCTGACTTTAAAAGAAAACACCCATTAGTGACCTTTTACAATATGCTTTTTAGGGGAAGCTGGGTCTATTCTTTTTCTTCAGAATATTTTTTTTTTTAAAAAGTACATAAAAGACACCCTCTGCCTTTCTTTCCTGCCTCTGGTGAACAGTAACGGTAGTTCACTGGTACGTAACGAAGTTATAAACACAACAAAGGGCCCCGCCCACACACTGCATAAATAATTTCACACGAAGTGAAACACTTACCCAAGAAGGTAGATCTTCGACTCTCGCTAGTATAACGTCCTTCTCGTTCTTTGCGATCTCTTGTGAAATAGCGATCTTGTGTCGCTTGGCTTTCGTATGCTTCTCCTTCCACACAAACACCACCAGAAGAAGCCACAACCAACTCACGGAAAACTTACAGTAACCAACCAACCATACTAAAGACACAACACCCGCCAGCTTAAAATACCTCTGTACAACCTGCATTAACAAGGTATCTTCCACAACAGTCTTCCGTGGACCCTTTAGCGAAGGCTGTTTCGGTGTCTTGGCCATTGTTGCAGTCAGCTAAGTACTCCAGGAATAAAGTATGTTATGAGTAATACAAATCACAGTTAAATTATTGATGGAAAAACTTTTGTTCACAAAACTGTACACTCTCCCTTCCTTCCGCATCCCAAAGTCTGCAGACGACGGCTCAGTCAGTAATGTCTTGTACAGCCAGATTTTTCACCAGCTTCAAGTTAAAATCAAATGTACCGTTTACCGAATTAACTCCTTTAGTCCCATATAGCTGAGCATATGACTAAAGAAAACAGGCTGGGATATGTGGCTCTACGGGACGGATTAAACGGTACATAACAAGAACAAAGAATGCTGATAAAGTGTTATTACACCCTAAGACAATATAACCTTTGGTAGGTTGAACAGGGTATCGTTGTTCAAAGTACTAACTACTTCAAAAATGGTGAAACTATGGGGGTGACTGCAGTCAAGCTAATACAATGAATTCAAGAGAAATTTGACTAAAAAGCTCAACAAAATGGGAAAGAGGAAAACGTGCACAAAACAACACAACGTAACGTTTCGGCCGGGCAGCCTTTTTCAAACACAAGTGAAATACACAAACGAGGAATGGAGAGTATGTAGATCTCTAAGGGGTGACGTGAGCGACGTTTAAAAAATGTGATGCGGAATAAATGAAATAAAATAAAATAAACGATGGCTAAAAAATATAGTCACAATACTGGGAATAAAAGAAATGCAAGTGTTAATGATACATAAATGATATTGATAAGAAATAGAATATGGTAATAATATGAAATAAAATAAAATAATTAACATTTAAAATGTGATAAGATTAGAACTATTTAGATGAAGGTATGTTGGATATTGATACCTCTTGGACTAAGAACGCCAAGGCTGTGGATAAGGCGATTTTCCAAAGCGAGGCGGGTAGTATGATCGCCAGAGCAAGATTTTAATGCTGTGACAGATATGTCATCTTTACCGCTGTGGTCAGGGCTATTGAAATGAAGAGGGGTTGGTTTGAGTGTCTTTTTGTCGATATCAGAGAGGTGTTCCCGGAAACGATCAGCTAGCTTCCTGCCAGTCTCCCCAATGTATGCCTTGCTGCATCGTTTGCAGATAATTGCATAAATTACGTTGCGGGATTCGCAAGTAAAAGGTTCCCTAATTTGAAAAGAACCATTAGGGAAACTGACCGAAGAAGTTTGGACAACAAAAGGACATGTTTTGCAGGTGCTGCGTGAGCACTGAGTAGTCCCAAGAGGAAGTGCTGTGTGGATCGGTGGGAGTCGGCTTCGGACAAGTATGTCTTTAAGGTTGCGATCTCGTCTGTAAACTAATCTAGGTTTCTCACTAAAGAATTTAGCGTTAATTTAACGTTACGTTGTGCTGTTTTGTGCACGTTTTCCTCTTTCCCATTTTGTTGAGCTTTTTAGTCAAATTTCTCTTGAATTCATACTAACTACTTCGTTCTTTCATCACAAGAGATGAGGACCACTCTTTCTTTCATCCGTCTTGAAACTGCAGTTGAATGTTTATGAGTCCGGAGGTGACTTATAAGCCCAATACGTGCCCGGAAAGAGTCTATGACAAAAAGGGCAAGGCATCGTGTCTGTAGACAAAAGGGCCTATTACTACTAGTTGTTAATTCAACACTACCTATCCTAAATTTTGCGTTATCTCAGATCAACAACAGCCTTGTGGCAGAACAGCACGAAGCAAACAATTTGTTTTTATATATTTCCCTCGATACCCAAAGTGACAAAAGAGGAAGTTAAGAAAGAGGCGGAGAAGAAGGAAAAAGAAGAACAGCCTTCTGGTATTTAAAAAAAAAAAAGCTTTGGGACAGAAGGCGCTAAATTACCAACTGAGACAGAATAAGTTAACATATTGAACGAACTCTATAGAAAGAGTACAGAATTGTGTACCATAAAGACACAAACAAATAGACGTACTGTAAGATGTCTGGTGCTAAAAGATTTAACTCCTACATCTAATATCGCTGGAGAAATGCAATCCCAAATCCAAGTGTTCAGTTACAGGAGTAGTGGGAAATTCTTAAAGCCTACAGTCAAATGATATTAATAATAGGTTCTTAAAACCGTTCTGGATGGCGTACGTCCCTCAGACATGGTGCATCGGCCTGCCAGGCAGAGGAGGTTGCACAGGGAGAGAAATGGAGGCAGACTAGAAAGAATCGTGCTGCTAATCCCACACCTACTGCGGCTTCCATATGTTGTCCGCACTGTTCAAGATTCAAGAACTTTCCAGGTTCATATTTGACTAATCAGCCATCTTCGTACTCATAATCGTTGATCATTACTACTTTGGATGAAAGTGGTCTTCATCACCCGTGATGGACGAACAACACATCGATCCAGCAATGCATGGGATTTCCCATTCGGCCCATTGCAAAGTAGTTTAATAGTGCGTGATGCGAGCTTCTTTTCATTAGACGGCGTGTTGCTGTATGTAACGTTCTCTTTTGTATCCATCCCCTCTCGCCCTTTTGGCTCTGGGGGAAGCAACCATTTATCATACATGTTAAAGCTGGACACGTACAGAGGTGGTGTTCAGCCTGTTTGGAATTTATGTTTAGTGCGGACTTTTAATATGGTAAAGTTTTTTTTTTCAAAAACGACTTAAAAGTCCAAAAACAAATGAAAACCGTAAACTGGTTACAGCGATTAGAGAAATCTGACGTAGACAGCAAAGATATTTAGGCAAGTTTTTCTTCTTCTTCTCCTCATCCTCTCTCAACTTCCTATTTTGTCGCTTCCGGCATCAAGGAAAATATAAATTTGCTTTGCTTCGTGCTGTTCTGGCTGCCTTGACCATAAACGCTATTGTATTATCTTTCCGTTTTGTTCTTTTCCTACCTCTTGATTTACGTCATTTCATTTTTTTTTTAATGATGCCGTGTATAGAGTATCGCCCACGCTAGTCGGCAAGGCACCCGATGACGATGATGTATAGTAAGGGTCGCAAGACATTCTTTCCAAGAAGGAAAACCATTTTGTTTGCTGTTTTTGTATGTAATTTAGAATTTGGTTATGTGTTGACATTTTCTTTTTTGACTGCATTCCTAATTTGATCTCTTCTGGATATTCACGCACCCCTTTTCCAGAAAGGCCTACCTTTTTTTTATGACGACTACTAATTTTCTTGTCTGGTTTGCTGTGAGTGTCTGGCACTGATAGCATTGAATTTGAATAAATATGCTTTGTACAAGATATTTTTTCTGACTGAAATTGCCTTATGTTGTAAAAGATAGCATTGGTGGGTGATGGAAAAGGGGGGGGGGGGGGGTTGTGTGTGTGTGTGTGTGTTCCAGTCGTCAAAACATGCTCCAGTTTCCTTCTCATAATACGATCACAAAA